CAGATGTTACAATACCATCTTATGTACCTTGCAAAATCTTTTTTAAGGAAATTGTACTTTACCCTTTGTCCCTAAAAAAAATTCCTCTTTTCCCATCTAATTTCAAAACTTTGTGGCTTTTCTCCGCCTTTCCCCTTTCTTTCTTCCCCCACCAAATCTTCCTACCCCCCTTCTTCTAGCCTCTGCCTTGCTAGCATCCCTTCTCTGTTGTGTTCCCATTTTCTTTTGTTTACTATCATTATATTTATTTTGCATCTTATTTTTCTCTTTCTTAAATGTTTTTTTAGATCTTAAGTCCTTCATTTTCCTCGCTTTCTTTCTTCCTTCTTTCTTAGTTAAATTTTGGAATTCATTAAAGATGGTGTCTTCATCTTCTTCTTCTTGTTGTTCTTCTGCCTCCATCTGTTGTATTGTTTGTTGATAGTTAACCAGCGCCATTTCTAAAAATAGGAAGGCTTTTTCCATACCATCTTTACCGGCTGCTTTTGTTTGCTCATATTCTTCCCTCAGTTCCTCAAAAGAAAAAGCCATTATAGATCTTTTCTTTTCTTTTCTTTTTTCCCTCTTTCTTCTTACACCAACCAAGATATTTCAAAAAAAAAAAGTAAAACAATCCCAAAATCCACAATCCTCAATCAATCCAAGCCAAGACAAAATTCTCCCTTTCTCTTCCAGGGGTAGTATCAGACAAAAGAAAAAAGAAAGTCCAAATCTGTATTTTGAAGCCTTATTGGAGTTATATTTCTGTCTTCAAATCCTTAAGGCATCTCCTCCAACAAAATCAAACCAGATGAATATATTTTTTGTCGTCTCCCTTCCGACTTATCCCATAAATCTAGTTTTACCTGAAAAAAACAGGTTTCTCAATATCCACTTATTAATTCCGTCGGGAAGGAGAGTAAACTTTCCTTTCAGCACCACCAAACTGCCGCTTTTTTCCTCTTCTAGAAGGTATCATTCAGAAAGTCATAATTTTCAGGAATTTTGTTAAATATGTCTTAGAGTCCTGGGAACCAAGAAAAACTTTCTCTTTTCAAAAACTTTCTCCACTTCCTCCTGCGCATTCTTACCCGGCTGCCAGCTTCTTTGTGGCAGCCATTGCGGACCGCCTCTGCACCGTCTTGGGAAAAGGGGGTTCTGCCGGCCGGGGAGGGGGTCTGCAACACCCCCAAACCCCTCTCCGGATCCCCCCTATCTTCAGCTGCCCCTGCAGGGCAGCCTAGCTCCAGACCCGTCCGGATCGGAGCACCAAAAACGGCTAGCGCAGCAAGGATCACGCAGCTTCGCGAATCCCTGCCGCTCGCGAAGCCGACAAACCGGAAGTTCCCAAAAATATGTATGATTGTTAAAGGAAATTACAAATAAAACATACATACACACTCACAGAGAGACAATCACCCCTCCCCCTAGATTTCACCCTAAATTTAAACAACAACCTGTGATATAAACTGAGTTGAGAAATAATGGCAGGCCCAGAGTTCTGCAATGCCTCTCAGCAGTTCTGTACTACAACTACATACTACTAATTTATAATGAGCTAGTACTCTAGGAAAATAGACAACTAACCCCCAAGTTAGTCTTCACATCGGTGCATGTCTTGTGACTAAAACACACCCACATTGTCAGACATTTTGCAGTGAACATATGAGCCATTTTCTGATCAGCCACACCCACAAAGCTTTTTTACCATAAACAATACTCACAGTGTTACGAACTAAGAAAACACGTTAGTTTAAACCCTAATAGTTTTACTTCCACAGCAGGCTCGTAATCCTGCACTTCTGATTGGCCCGCGGTTTTAGCAGGTCGTGATTGGTCGTCTCTGACTAATCTGATTGGCTGACAGCGGGTCGCCGCTGATTGGACGCTCCCAGCGTGGCAAACTTAAACCATTGGACATTGTGACAGCAGCCAGCTCTATAAAAGGAGCTGCTGCTGCCCAAGTATTTTGCTCTGTTCTGAAGTCACTAATAAAGAGTTGGAGTCACTATTCGATGCCTCGTGTCCGTTCTTGTGCCCACACCTCCAGATCTAACACACAGTATAAATTATTATACATTAGCGATACTCATAACTTTTAAGCATTCTTGAACTTTTCCAAAGAAAGAGGGAAAGGTTCTTTCTTTCTGCAGTGAAACTGATTTGAATCCAAGAATATGACCACAGATGAAAATTCCCCAGCCAAGATGTACACTTTAAATCAGGGGTGTCCAACCTTGGCAACTTTAAGACTTGTGGACTTCAACTCCCAGAATTCCTCAGCCAGTTGGACACCCCTGCTTTAAATCACAGGATGAAGTGGAAAGGTGTGGTCCAGCATAAGAATAAATATTAGCTATTGATTTCAAAGTATATATATAGAGAGAGATGGGCAAGGCTCTTTCAGAACTTGGCTCTTCTCAGCATAGTTTCAGTTTATGCCTTCTCTGATTCTGCAAAATTTTTCCAAAATGGTTCTTTTTATTTCATTCTTAATTGGGATACAGATAGTTCATACGTTGGCTGCCTCGACAGCTCCTTCCTTTGTTTACCCATCATGCAATTCTTTGGTGGTAAAGGCTGCTGCAGAAGCAGCCCTTAACAAAATCAATTCAAATCGGAAACAAGGCTACTTTCTTGGCCTCCAGCGTATTTTTGATGTCCATGAACTACCCCAGGTAAGATCTCCTCCTTCTGCTCACTTTTTCCTTTCCTTCCATTCAACACCAGCCATTCTGCCGCCAAATCATCGAAGCACTTCTGTATCTAGGCAGGGTAACCTGCAAAAATCACTTGATGCCACCCAAGAGATATAACCAAGATTTGGTAGCGCTAATAAAATGAGAGTCAGTGGGAAGCTATTGTTTGTCATATATCCTAGAAGCAGGGCCAGTTTTACCACAGTACTGAAAGAGGAGCAACAAAGATGACTGGAGGCTAAAACATATGAAGAACGGTTGCAGGAACTGGGTATGTCTAGTCTAATGAAGAGAAGAGACGAGGGGTGACATGATAGCAGTGTTCCAATATCTCAGGGGCTGCCAGAAACAAGAGGGAGTCAAGCTATTCTCCAAAGCACCTGAGAGCAGGAGAAGAAGCAATGGATGGAAACTAATCAAGGAGAAATCAAACCTAGAACTAAGAAGAAATTTCCTGATAGTTGGAACAATTAACCACTGGAATGACTTGCCTCCAGAAGTTGGGAATGCTCCAACATTGGATGTTTTTAAGAAGAGATTGGAGAACCATTTGTCTGAAATGGTATAGGGTTTCCTGCTGAGCATGGGGTTGGATTAGAAGACCTTCAAGATCCCTTTCAACTCTATTTTTCTGTTATTCTATTCTGTTACTAAATAGAGTGAAGCAACTAGTGAACATTTTGTGGCAGATCTTGATATCACCGGTCACCCCACCCTTTTTTTTTTTTAATGGGACAGGCAATGCCTTTCTAAGTTAATTCTTTGAGATCAGGTTTGGTGATAATGGATACTCACCTATTACTAGGATTAAAATAACCGTTTTGCACCATGTGGCAAACCATCCGGAGTAAACCATGACTCTGGATACTGAGCCTCTCTAAATGTCTTTGCATATAAAGTTCCAACACGCTATATAGTTCTTTTCTGTCAAACTCTCCAACTGCACAGGGCCTGCAGCCTATATACGTAGCATTTAAAGATTCTCAAAGATGTGATTGGTGTTCTAAATTCAGAGAGGGAAATTTAAACAAGGGACAATGAAGAGAAAAAGCTTGAAAGGACCAAGGTATATCTACATTATGCGACCTGCCCTTTGCACACACCAAAGTAACCAGTTTGTTCTGGATGTAGTAGTTGCTATCCGTTGTAACACTGAAATACTGGGAGATTCACCCTGAGGTCTAGAAATTCTCTTCCCCTTCATCAAAGATTAAGCGGCAGCATTGCAGCATCTTACCAGAGCTACAAAACATTTTGCCATGGGCACAAATTGCTAAACAGATTTTTAAAAAGTCATTAGTCTTGGATCATAACGCCTGCATTAATTGAAAAGCAAGATGGATGCCAAATAGATTGAATAAGTAAATAATTACAATTACTTGGACCCCTTGCCTTTTCGAGGAAGCTGCTGGACTCAGCCGAGAGCACAGTTGGCTTCTTGAGCATCAAGTGAAAAAAAAATCAACTGACCTCCTGTCTTTTTTTTTTTTCCTAATGGTGATTTGAATGTTGACTTATTTCCATCTAATGTGTTTAAGGTGATCGACACCCTGACTCGCCTTTTCAGGAGTTTTTCTTTGTCCATAGAAAAATGGCGATTCTCTTTTCTACCTCATCTTGGATGTGTTAGAAACCGAATGCCACATCCAGAGCGGGAAAAAGTGGAAAGAATGCAAGTTTAGAAGTGAACAGGGAACAGTAAGTAATCGATCTATTTACTTAAATAATTATTGATGGAGTTTGGAAGGAAGTAAAATCTGGGTTTTGAACTGGTTTGCAAAGGAGGTGGAAGGAGTTACTCTACTCACTTGCCCTGTTGCAACAGATCTCTCTCTTCAGAATAGTCCTCACCACTTCTCCCATCTTGCCATTGGTTCCTTGGCATGTCTGTGCTGGTGATAATTCCCTGCACTGAAGTGCTATTTCAATTCAATGGCATTGTACTCATGAAACATAGCATAAGAGGTGGGATTCTACCAGTTCAGACCAGTTCAGGCAAACCATTTGTTATGATTCTGCACAGTTCAGAGTTAGAGTAGAACACTTGCTAAGCAACTGGCCATTAAGTGAAGACCACTTGTATTTGGTTTGCCAGACACATGGCCACACCCACCCCATCACATGACTACCAAGCCATGCCCACAGAACCAGTTGTTTAAAAAATTGAATCCCACCCCTGCATAGCATTGGAAGGGAGGGAGATGAATGGATCCAACCTCTTCTCACTGCAGGAACTCAAAGGAAAGCCTTCCTGACCAAGGGCTCTCAGAGCATCTGGTGGTAAACCTATTTAGGGACAGAGAGATCTCACAATTTCTCTTGGCTGTCCCAGTGGCTCTTACACATGGGAAGGTTCTCTAAATATTTAGTCTGAATCTCCCTCCTGCAACGTAAACCAGACTTGAGGTGCAGATCAGGGATTCACAGATATCGGGGATTCACAGCTCCGGCTTCAAGATTCTGGTAAGATGTAGAGCCTGACATTGGTTCTTCCATGTCTGCACCCTGGAAGGAGAGGAAGCAGTTCTCGGCTATCTTCTAAGTGAATCCATTGTTGGTATTGAAGTTGGTCCTTCCCTCTCCCCCACTGCCCAGTCCTTTGTCAAACAAACCATCCACATGTCCTTCAAGTTCTCAACTTCAGGTGTCTTCACCATTGGGGAAATAATTGGGTGGCATTAACACTAACTACTTTCTCTTGTTCCAGTTCTATGGCCAATGCAAAGCAGTAATTCAGTACAATGGGAAGTCAAAGAGTTCATTCGTGTACAGACATAGCTGCAGTTTACGCTCTTGTATGTATCTTCCATGTTTGCTGTATGTAGATTTACAAGAAATATTGATCCAAGCACATATATCTCCCAATCACAGTTTACTGATTTCCCTACAGAAATCAAATAGATGCAAAAGCTCCAAAATTGTATTTTAAAGCCTTGTTTCATTCTTCAGGGTATCTTAAGAATACATCTGTAGTTTCATTTTCCTCTGTTTCTCAACCACAGCTGCTGTTTGGGCCAATTTCCTTTTAAAATAGCATAGCATAGTATAGCATAGCATAGCATAGCATAGCATAGCATAGCATAGCATAGCATAGCATAGCATAGAATAGAATAGAATAGAATAGAATAGAATAGAATAGAATAGAATAGAATAGAATAGAATAGAATAGCAGAGTTGGAAGGGACCTTGGAGGTCTTCTAGTCCAACCCCCTGCTTAGGCAGGAAACCCTACATCATTTTAGATGAATGGTTATCTAATCTCTTCTTAAAAACTTCCAGTGTTGGAGCATTCACAACCTCTGAAGTTGTTCCACTGATTAATTGTTCTGACAGGAAATTTCTCCCTAGTTCTAAGTTGCTTCTCTCCTTGATTAGTTCCCATCCTTTGCTTCTTGTCCTATCTTCAGGTGCTTTTGGAGAATAGCTTGACTCCCTCTTCTTTGTGGCAACCTCTTAGATATTGGAACACTGCTGTCATGTCATCCCTAGTCCTTCTACTGTAAATATTGTTGTTGCAGGTTTATGCATTTTTACACAGGTTTTTTTCCTGAGTGCATTTTTCTTATATATACTGTATAAGTATATTGCTCTTTGTTTGACAGGATAGCATTGAGAGCACTTGCCAATAAAGTCGCTAAGAGTTGAAGATGACTGAATGATTAAAACCACTACTATACTGATCTGTTACACAATATTAATGCCTACATTTCTGAGCAAACTTTTGAATTGCTATAAAACGAATTCACTATAAAATTCACTATAAAATTTAAAAACTAGAATTCAGATTTTTGTTCCTCATAGGCCCAAATGACATATTCTGCTCATGATGCATTTGTGACTATCAGCATAGGGGAGAGGGGTTAACCCCTTCTGACCTCTAAAACCAGGCTTCCCTGGTTCAATGCTGTTGACTGTTGGGTCAGGTTGCTAAACAGCTATGACCCTGATTAGATATAGGTTTGAGAGAGATGGTTTGTTTTCAGACTGAGCCAAGGTTTCTGTATTTTTCTTCATTTAAATGTATAAGCTCAAATTCAAATGTATCGTCTCCACCACTTTAAATAATACTTCTTTGCTTTATTAAAGTTTCTGGTTCTGTTATTACGCGTCTTTGCTCCGACTGTCCACGGCATGGAAATCCTTCTGAAGACAGTTTTCAGGAGATCGCAAAAGAGACCCTGGCCAAATTCAATGCTGAAAATAACCACTATCATTATTTTGGCCTTGTCAGTGTCACCAAAGCAAAGTTTCAGGTAAAGTTGAAGAGGAGTACTTTTGAGAAAAAACCTGATGCTGTAGCTTTGATTTGTATGGGAATTGCTACATATGTCAAATGTAGAAATTAAAAATGATAATAGAAATAATCCTAGAAGAGGATAATTAGAATAGAATAGAATAGAATAGAATAGAATAGAATAGAATAGAATAGAATAGAATAGAATAGAATAGAATAGAATAGAATAGAATAGAATAGAATAGAATAGAATAGAATACTTTATTGGCCAAGTGTGATTGGACATACAAGGAATTTGTCTTGGTGTAAATACTCTCAGTATACATAAAGAAAAGGTACATTCATTAAGAATCAAGAATCATAACGTACAACACTTAATGATAGTCATAGGGTACAATCAACAATCAAATCATACTAGGAAAAAGTCGATATAAATCGTAAGGATACAAACAACAAAGTTATAGTCCTACAATCACAAGTTGGAGGGGATGGGTGATAAGGAGTGATGAGAAGATTAACAGTAATAGTTGTGTACACTTTGTAAATAGTTGAACAGTGTTGAGGGAATTATTTGTTTAGCAGAGTGATGGCTTTTGGGAAAAAACTGTTCTTGTGTCTAGTTGTTCTGCTGTGCAGTGCTCTATAGCATCGTTTTGAGGGAAGGAGTTGAAACAGTTTATGTCCGGGATGTGAGGGGTCTGTAAATATTTTCACAGCCCTCTTTTTGACTCATGCAGTATACAGTCCTCAATTGAAGTCAGGTGGGTAGTAATTGTTTTTTCTGCAGTCCTAATTATCCTCTGAAGTCTGTGTCTGTCCTGTTGGGTTGCAGAATCAAACCAGACAGTTATAGAGGTACAGATGATAGGCTCAATAACTCCTCTGTAGAACTGTTTCAGCAGCTCCTTGGGCCGTTTGAGCTTTCTGGGTTGGCACAGAAAGAACATTCTTTGTTGTGCTTTATTGATTTTTTTTTTTGGATGATTTTTTGATGGTGATTAATTTATGTCTACATTCTTGCCAAAGAAAATGCATAGACAGATTCACAAAGTCTGCAGGAATCTGATGTAAAGATGATTTTAAATTTTATCTGCCAGAGGGCTTCTCAGAAGCATCCCATATGGATGGATCTCTGACCTTTGGACTATGTTACGTTCTATTTGATTACTGAATTTTAATATCCTTTTGTTAGTAAGGACACTTGACAATCCTACCAATCCTGCAGGACCTAGTGCTGAGAATTATGGGGACTATTCTGGAGGGCATCAAGCTGATAAAGATTGGCATGGCACCTAAATTATGAGGCACATCCTACAGAGACTATGACCCACTCTAACTGTTTATGACTTTCTACAGTGGGTTGTTGGTCCTTCCTACTATGTGGAATATACCATCCAGGAGACGTCCTGTCGCAAAAGTCCACCTGTGTCTGACATCACTCAATGCCCTCTCCTCCCAACTGAAACTGCAGTAAGTATTCACAACATTGCATAAAACCTAATCTGACATCATGGCTCAATGCATTCATTCTCAAGAACCAACTGCTCATAGAGAATTATGTTCTTTATTCATTAACATCTGCTGGACACAATGACTACATTTATACATTTAAATTTTGCCAAAAATGGGATTGGATAATCTGTGGCAACACAGAAATTATATTCGTTTGCTGTATAAATCAAGGTACCCATTATGTCATGCTATAGGTTATTAGTTTGGCCATTGCATTGTTAAAGGCTAAATGTTTATTTTCTCATATAAACAAGAGGTAGATTTATCACACAAACAATATATCCCTAATATATTAAGTGTACTTTATGCAAATTCATATACCTATTAATATTATACAGTGGAACCTCGGGTCGTGAACGCTTCTGTTTGCGACCAAATCGGGCAATGACCAGAATTTTTGCTTCTGGTCACAAACAGATCTTTGGGTGGCGACTAAGCAAACCCAAAAATCGCTGAGGCAATTTTCTCTGCCGTGGCAATTTTCCCTTTGGTGCCATTTTTTTTTGGGGGGGGGTCCGTGCATGTGCAGATGGTCGTGTTTCCAGTCACAACCAAATTGGGTTGCAACCAGGGGTGGGATTCAAATTTTGTAACAACCAGTTCTGTGGGCATGGCTAGTTGGGTGTGGCCATGTGACTGGGTGGGTGTGGCTCACCTTTTTTTGGCACCAATGCTAGCCCCCCTCCATTTTTTGCCTTCCTGGGCCTCAGGGAAGCCTCCTGGGTGAAGCAGTAAGTAAGTGAAGGGAATCCCAGCACAGCTGATCATAGGAACAGCTGATCGTCGGGAGGGGAAAAAATATCTTAAGGAATGAAGGGGAAGAATATAGTCAGTAATGTCGGGCATGCGCGCAATGTTGTGCATATGCGATAAGGACTGACTGGGCAGAGAGGGGCGGGGCCAGTCAAGGACACAATTTGCCGGTTCTCCGAACTGTGCAGAATCATAACAACCGGTTCCATAGAACCTGTCCCAACTGGTAGAATCCCACCCCTGGTTTCAACCATAGTCCTGGAATGCATTACGGTCTCAACACGAGGTTTCACTGTACTATATCACAAAGTATGGTATCTTATATAGATATTATTTACGATACTCAACCAGGTTACAAATTTCCCTGTTCCATTGATTTCTTAACCATCTACCTTTCTTGGGTAGATAACACAGTACTAAAGGTAACACAGTTCTTTCTCTGACTTTCTCCTTCAGGAACTGGAAATCCTATTTCTTTACCCAGGGCTAAATTTTCCTTCAAGCTACATTTGATCCTATATTTTTCTGTCCCTCTCCTCCCAACACCCATGTGGGGCTACTTGGGGTTCAATTGTTTGTGTTTTCTATCTTATTGCTTCTCAATCTCTCCATCCTTCCGAGTTTTTGGGGTGAGGAGACAATTACATGGGGCTGGATGGCTGTAGCTAGTCTGCATCTTTAAAAATCTTGTAAGGCTGTTAGGCTCCACAGAACCATTTATATGCAGCTTTATCTCCTTTATGCACCACTGGCTTCTCCTTCAGCTCTCCAACTCAATACCCTTTCTCTCTCTCTCGACCAACATTTGCCTTCTGCACCTTCATAGTTTCTCTCTCTCTCTCTCTGCACAACAGTTGTAGTCGCTATGATGTTAAAGTACCAGGGGAAGCAAAAGCATAAGAAAGGAAAAAGCTCATGAGTTTGGACATAAATTCTTAAGTGAACACAGGAGTTGGGTTTCTACCACTTTGTGTTAAGATGATGTATCTCAATGAACTTGTTCTTTGAGGAAATGGAATGCCTCGGAGTTCGGTTTGTGATGGGTACATTAATTGGAATCTGACATTCCTGAGTTTAGCATTCTGAATGAAGCCATCTTTATAAATGAAGAACAACTGAGAGACAGAAGCTAATATAAGCTATAATAAATCAATCTAAAAACAAATAGAAAGGTTGAAAGATAATATTATTATGTACAGGTATGCTTATAACATCACTAGCATTAAAATGGAATATAATATTGAATAACTACTTTAAAAAACCATATATATTAATATTAGGATTGTATAAGCTTGGTTAATGTAATAACCATTATGAATATCATTATTGATGTTGGTATTCAAATGAATTATGCCCAGGGACAATATTGTTCATGTAGTGACATTGATGTTGATTTTAAAATAAAAATCTAATAAAACTTGGGGAGGGAGAATAAAAATAAAAACAAATAGATGTAATAAGTAATGACCAACGGTGGTTGACTGAGGGAGAGGCAAAACCGCATACTATTACTGTTTAACTTTTATTTCATTGCTGCTGATTTTGATTTTACAGTTTTCAAAGTTTTATACTTATGTTTTTATTCTGTTTTAAGCATGCAAGATTTACTCAGGTCACTGAGATGGGCAGAATGTAAATTTAATAAATAAGTGAATGCATAGTAATCATCCCACCCCAAAGCAGCAGAAAAGGTTAACATGTAAATCTACTTTCACGCTTTTATTATTCAACCTGAGGACATAATCTAAAATGTCCACTTCTAGAAATAGAGAGGAGGCATAGAATTTGGTAGTCTTCTACTCTAAACCAAACATCCGTAGCTGGAATCTTCCTACCATCTTGGAAAACTGGCTGTCCAATTTCAAATGATGGGCCTCACTTAACAACTGAAGGAAGAAGGCCATTCCAGTTAGTTTGTAACTCAATTCAAGCTTAGTAATTTATTATTTTCCAAGCCAACATGAAGCATAAAATTAGTTATCAGTTTCCAAAATTTGCAGGAGAATTCTTCAACGATCAGAGTATATAGGAATATAATCATTATAATACCAACATTCATATCTGGAACACCAAAATGCATTTCCTATTCTGGAAAATCTGCTTCAGGAAATCCATAGAATGATTGAAAAGAAAGAATTTAAAATTCTAAGAAGCATAGTGCAAGAATTCGGCTTTCCCAATGGAGCCTCCATCCACTGTAATGGGACCAAAGAAGCCATCATTTTGAGGAGAATTGACATGCCAATCACGGGGGGGAGGGGGGATGGAGAATTCTCTTTGATACAGAACATCTGAACAATCACATCGACTGCTATCCAACTGCATATTCGAAATTTTGGTAGATTAAATTTCTGGATTTTTGTTGATGAAAACTTTCTCTTTTGCTGTAGGAGAGAGGCCTATGCAAAGGCTCTGTGATAAACAAAGGGATGAAATTTCAGGAAACTGTCAAAGTAAAATGTGATTTCTTCTTGCGTCCGGTAAGTTCCTCAGACAGCTATGATCTGCAGAAAATATTCATTCCTGGGCTGTTGAGCATAGTTTACATTTTAAAACGTATTGTCCGGGCTTCCTCCAACAAACCAACAGATTTTTTTAGTCAAATAATAACTCATTAAATCATTGGTTAAGACATGTTTTAATTAATGAAGTAGACAAAATTCTGCTCAGTTTGTTCTAAGTTACTATTATTAATTAAGTTTGTTGTGAGTTACTATTATTAATGATCTTTATTATATTACAATTTACAATTCTGTCTAAAGCCCCTGGAGTGAGGCAGCTTATAACTCTTAAAATACAGTAATGAAATGAAATGAAATGAAATGAAATTGAACAACATGCCCTCACCCAATTAAATATACAGAGAAAGACATTCATAGATAATTATAAAGTTATATGGAAAAGACCTTGGGAGATGGAGCAAAGAAATGCTTCTTAAAGAATACTCAGATAATCAGCAGCTGCATAATGGATGGAGAAAAAGGTTTACAAGGGACCCTCCCTAGTTTCTCGAACTGTAAAGGAGATTTGGGAGATTATGTATTTTCAGATTAGCATATTTCATCTTAATGTAGTCTTAGAGCAAAATAAAATTAGCTCATCTGGACATGTTTCCCGTCCATCCGCCTAGTAAAACTCACAATAATTAAGATCCTCCCTATGAAGATGTGCAGTTGGAAAGGTCTACCCTTGTTGCATCCAGAGAGCAGAAGTTATGAACACCAGTTGCCTTGAACATTTTCTGAAATAAGTAAATCTATAATCCAGATATGGTCAACCACCTAAGCAACTTTTCTCTATCTTTTGTCTTATTAGAAACGCCAGTCTCCTTACTCTGTCAGGCAAGTCATGCAAATTCTTCCTCCCTTCCCCAAAGGGTTTTCAGGATCATCTAAATGCCCAGGAGATGTTGCAATAAATGTCTATGGCCTTCAACTCCCCTCCCCTCCAAAGACTAATCCGCTTGAACAAAGTGATGTATAATACTGAAAGCTTAATTCAGAGGAAATCTCCCCCTCCCTCCATCTCTCTCTCTCCCTCCCTCTCTCCCTTCCTTCCCTCCCTCATCAGAAATTACAAAGAACAGCAACTACTTTTCTGCTCAAGGAAATATTAAAAATATTCAATAAAAGAAACTATCTTTGCAGTGGTTATTTCAGAAATCACAGGTTTTTTTTTTTCATTTTCACTTTTGAAGCAGAGACACAGCCCATGCATAGAATCCTGTGTCAATGACAGGCATTTTTCCTGTTGTAAGGAGCAGAAAAATTAAGTAGTTTTGAATATTTCAAAAACAATAAATAAGAGTATATAAGGTGGTTGTGGACACATGATTTTTCCCTGGGTGTTTCAGACTTAGAGCTTGGGAAAATGTTCTTTGAAATTGACGAGTAGTTGATATATAGAAATCCAGACATTTCTATACTCCTCATATGATACATACCTCTATTTTCAAGCTGCACATTGAACCATCTCTGTATTTGTCTAAAAAAAAAAATACAGCAGCAGCAGCAGCAAAAAACATTACAAAATTGTGACTATTTAGACCAGAGTTTGCATAATGGCTGGGGAATTTCAACATTGAGATCCACACATCGTAGTATTACCAAGATTGTAAAAATACTGAGTAATTCACATGTTGGTGTGGAAATCCCCTTTAATGCATCCCAGAAAAAGAATATTCTAAATTCTACTTGAATACATGCAGTGAAGGAGACCCTAACTATGCCACAAACACTCTCCATTAAGTATTATGTTGCAGATTTGAACTTTGGTTAT